CCACAGCAAGCTTCGTCCTTCATTATTCCCCAGCCACACACACCAAGTTTTCCATGACGAAGTTATGTAATGTTTTCTTAAAAAATACTAATGTTCAATGAGAATCCACTGCTAGCTTTTTCCTTCATTATTCACCAGCCACACACACCAAGTTTTCCATGACGAAGTTATGTAATGTTTTCTTAAAAAATACTAATGTTCAATGAGTTATCCACTGAAGTTAAATGATTTGTAATGTTTGAACTTCGTAAATGCTCCTGGTCAAATATCTGAAGTTTTCCAATTGATAAGCATTATAATAATCACAGTTATAGCTTCTGAAGTTTATAGCACACTGATTATAGCAAACTAATAGTAGATACTACTTTTTTGGCGCATCGGTTATATTTATAGGTATGTGGAGAGTTTCTAGAAAATTCAGATTATGTAACAATAGAAAGCTACATTTAAGCATTTACGTACATACATATATTGTTGATTCTTATACTCGAGAATCTTCTACAACTTTAGAGAATAGACGGGAGTTTTACAATACATATTTAACAGTATAAGCTATGCATGTTTCTAAATATAAACTTAATCAAACAAACGTTGATATTAAAATAAATATATAATAATAAATCTGTCACAGATCTAAAAGTAGAAGAACGGTGGGGAAGGAATAAGTAAATGAGTACCCACAATGATAATCCAATCAGGCAAGAAGTAGGAAGGGGCAGTAATGGATAAGGAAGGAATGAAAGAGGATAGAAAGAGGCAGTGAAGGGAAACTGTGAGATTAGAAAATGCAGAAGAAGGAGGAAACACCACCTGAAAACATGAGATAGAAAATACTTACAGAATATGGGAGAACCATCCTATGAAAGAGGAGGAATATGTGACAATGTAGTGAAGTCAGAATGAAATGGGGACAAAAAAGACCAAGGTGATAAGTACATCCCATACAATGGCACCCGGAGGTAGAAGGCTGACAGGAGTGGGACAAAGGGATAGATACATGATAAGGGAGGTGGACTGAACAATCCCACACACCATATCCCAAGGGAAGAGCAGTGTTTGAGGGTGGAACAGAATGGATGGAAAGTTGGGAAGGGGAAGAAAGGGCTGAGACTTGAGGAGGTAGTAATAGATACAAGGTTGGGAAGACTCTTAGGGGCCACAAAACAGACCTCTTAAGGGATGTCCCAAAATGGAGCAAGGACCTGAGAGAGGAGATGGAGAGGAGAAAATGCATAGTAAAAATATATGGGACAGATCAGACTGATGACACAGACAACCAGAATTGAGGAAGTTAGAAAAGACTTTGTAATTGGAGAATGACTTAACAATACTAAACCTTCCATAAGAAGAAAGAATCTATGTAAATTGCTCTGTTTACACATTCTTTTTTCAAACTCCTTAGGGGACGTTGGGAGGAAAGAGAAATAAGTTTATTGGAACTCTTGACAAATGCCATGCTCACTCTTTACACATACAATTGATATTTCTCAGCAAATTATATTTAGTTGAGGTAGATGTTTGTAACCAATAGAATGACCACATTTTGAAATACTATTTCCAAACAGTTATTTTAAAACTAGCATGAATCATTCCATAGAGAACTTGTCAAATGCACTTAGCATTGTTGCTGATTTTATTCTCTCTAGCACTTTAGTGTTATTTCTCACTTATAAATATGTTAGTTAGATAGACAATTACATTTTATTTAGATTTTAGTTTTATATTTCAGTTAGTTATGTATTAGTTGTGTTTTAAAATGCATGTTAGAAAGGTTTAATAATTTTTTAAAATATATAAGCCAGACTGTCTCATTTTATCAGGCTTAGTGTAGTAGGCAAATGTCCCAATGTTCTGATGACGACTAGTGTTGCTGCCGACGATATCACGAGAATGCCTGTTGACATGTGTTGCAATAAGTAATAATGCTAAAGGATAAGAAAGGAAAATAAAACATCCAAAATAATCTTTTTGTGAAAAAAAGCATAAATCTACAATTAAGAATATAAACTTAGAAAATTTTCAAGTTTATTCGAGGAAAATTAAAACATATGTATATTTTTCTATCTTTAATTTTAAATATTTCATTGCACAATATGTTGATGATAATACTTGAAATATTCAGAGTCTGAGTGCAAATAACTGACATAAAAATGACAAACCTTTAATTAAAATACTTAATTAAAACAATTTTATTCTTTGCGTTCAAAATACTTGTAATCTTTAACAAAATCTTAACAGTTGCTGTGAAGATATATTAAGAAAGCTCAGAGTTGTTGTAAGTATTTTTGGACTATGTATCATTTTCCATACGAGCCCAGCTCAATGGACCTACCCATAAACATTGAGTTAAGGGGTAATGAATGATAACTAAACATGAATATCCAAGTATGCATGCTAAAGAGGAACTAGATCAAAAGTGTACCTACTAAAAGTATGTGCTAAGGAGTATTGAGCTATGATGAAATATTACCTTCTAAGTGACATAAGGAGTACGGAACCATGACTAAACAACATATTCTGTGAAGAAGTAACAAACAAGAAATAAACATTAACATCTCAGTATACATATTACGAATAATCAACTATTTCTAAACATCAACTGGTGTGTATACGGAAAGGATCAATAAACCATGACCAAACACAATGTTCTAAGTTGGATATAGTAAGGTAGTATTAACTATGTCTAAACATGATCTTTTATGGGCACAAGTAAAGGAGAAATGAACTATGGCAAAATAATAACCCAATAAGGTTCATGTTAAGGAGTAATGAAAAATGTCAAAACAATATCTTTTATATGGACATGTTTAGAAATAAGAACTATAACCAACCGTTAATAAGGACGCGTACATTGATCAGGAATAATATACCAAAACTAAGCATTATCTACCACGTGTACATAGGAAAAAGTAAAGAACATTGACTTTGAGGTGTAAATGTTAAAAAATAAGGAACTAGAATCAAACCGTAACAGTTGTGTGTACCTGGCAAGATATAAACAACTAAGACTAGGCATTATTTACCAAGAGTACTTGTGAAGGAGTAATGAACTAGATATAAACATTACCTTATATGTGGACATGGTAAGGAGTAATGAACTATATAAAGATAGAAAACATTTTATATTATCTTCTAAGTGGACATGTTGAGGAGTAATGAACTAGTTCATTACTCCTTACCATGTCCACATATAAGGTAATGTTTATATCTAGTTCATTACTCCTTACCATGTCCACATATAAGGTAATGTTTATATCTAGTTCATTACTCCTTACCATGTCCACATATAAGGTAATGTTTATATCTAGTTCATTACTCCTTACCATGTCCACATATAAGGTAATGTTTATATCTAGTTCATTACTCCTTACCATGTCCACATATAAGGTAATGTTTATATCTAGTTCATTACTCCTTACCATGTCCACATATAAGGTAATGTTTATATCTATAAAAATAGAAAACATTTTATATTATCTTCTAAGTGGACATGTTAAGGAGGAAGAACTAGAACTAAAGATTAATATGAATGTGTATATAGCAAGGAATAAATAACCAAGACTAAGTATTATATTCCATGTGTACATGTGAAGAAGTAATAAACAAGAACTAGAATCAAACATTAATAGTTATGTATATACATGGCAAGGTATAATAAATTACAACTAAGCACTGCCTACCAAGAGTACATTTGAAGAAGTAATGAACAAGATGTAAACATCACCTTCCATTTAGACATATGAAGGAGTATTAAACCAGAAGGTAATATCAATGCTTATGTGTTACATTGGAAAGAGCAACTAACTGTAACTAAACATTAATGTCTAGGTTTATATGGTAAGTAAGAAGTAAATATGACCAACCAACAATGGCCATATGTACATGTGAAAGAAGGATGAACAAAGACTAAACCTTAGATACTAAGTGGTATATGTTAAGGAGTAGGTAGCTATGATTAAACATTATAGTCTAAGTAGTACAAGTTAAGGAGTACATTGTAAGAAGTAATAAACAATGTCTAAACATGTCCTGTGAGTTACGTGTTAATGAACTTACATCTACATGTTACCTGGTAATGCAGGAAGGATGATGCATAAAACAGCAGGAGTAACTTGAACCTCAGAGTAAATGCCAGGTGTGGCACAAACAGGGAACAAGTAAGGAAACAACGAGTAGAAGGCTTACGTAAAACTGGACAGTCAAGAAATTTTCAGTAGGTAGAGAATTATTGGGTGGAAAGTTGCTCCATTTCATCCTCCTCAACTTCAGCTTCAAAATCTTGAAGGGAAATGTGCAGCAGGGATGGAAGAAGAAGGTCCAGGTGGGAACATAGACCCAACTAAATGGTGGACAATGTGACATTACACTTCTTCTTACTGAATTTTCAACCTGGATGGCACCTTTTGCAATACACAATGGCTGTCACGATCTCAACAGGCAAGAACTTCCTAAATTGTTGGTAACAGTGAGAGTTATGTGTACTCATATCAAGCAGAAAAAATAATTCACGTTAATCTGTGAATACATATTGAAAGGTTCAAAATACAACGTAAAGTTGTCTTCAACAAGTTTCAGAAAAAACATACATGTCTAAGATCAACCATACCGAGGAAAAGAATGAAATATCTTGCATGTGAATGTATAGGGTGCACTTGCACAAGGAGGTGTGTCACACTCCTATTGGTGGAGGGTTTTGCTGCACAATACATCATCATCCAGTAGCGCACTTTCACTTAATTCACGTGAATTTTAAGTAGAAGTGTTCAAAAAGGCTGGTGGCATAGAAGTCTCTCAGGCAGATTAGTACAATTTCAAAGAAAAAAAAAACAAAAAGCAATTTATTTGTGAAAAAAACAGTTTAGGTATAAATTACAATGTACCAAGTCCAAACATTACCAAATAAAACTTGTAATTATCAATGTCCTTCTGGGGAAATTTTGCTTCCTCAGAAGTAGCATTTGTGAAGATATAATCACTCTTTACTTGTACAGTTAGAACCAAATAATATGCTTACTTTCTCATATAGGATAATGTAATTAGTAAACTAGTACATCATTTGTGCTTAAAAATATTATTTTATGCATCATGTATGACTTGAAAGTCATTAGAACAATTACTTACTTATTATGAAACAACACAGCATCACTACGTTGAGGATCAACTCCACAAAAATTATCAGGTTTTTGCTAAACCATGGAGATAAAAGACAGAAATGAAGTTTCACAATTTTAGGAAAATAAAATCTATAAAGACGGTGATACTCTCCATGTTGTGAGGTATAGAACAATAAACTAAGGAAATTTATCATTTTTCTGAATCTATTTAGTAACGAAGATGTTTGTCTCTACTCTCACAACATAAGTATATAAAAAAGTATAATTCTGACATTTATACTAAGACTAAATAACAGTTTTTCGGCTTAATACTTGGGTTAATCATGCAAGTTGTAAAACAATAAAGACTGAAATTATCTGACTATTATACTTCAATTAAAACTCAAATCTTCTATCACTGGTGTTAGCAAAACAAAACTGCAGTTTTGAAAAAAAAACTCACCTGAGTTTGAATTTCGTAGTTCTTGATTTTATTCTGCACAGCCTTTGAATTAATGTGTGGAAGATTTCTTATATTTCTGCACTGAAATGAAAAATATTAATACAGATCAGCAGTCAACAGTATGCAATTGAATAATAAAGTTTATAGAGTTTAACTCTATGACTACAGGGTGGAATCCATCCAGCCCATAACCATCAAATTATCCATGAAAGTAGTTATAGTATAATTTTTGATAATGTAAGCATATCTTCACGACATTTTGCAGATTATCAGTAAACATTACAAGGCTTTTGTATACAAATTATCAGGTTTTTAATCAAGTATTTGTTGCAAATTATTTTCTTTTGGAATGTTGACTATCCAACATGCAAAGTAATTTTGATTTTAAGATAGAAAATACCTTTCTTTATTTATCTAAAAATTGTCAAGTTTCATTTGCATAATCTCTATAGCCTCCTACATATCTATCAAACATTGTTTTTTAGAAAAACTTTATATTTTATCTGTTATTTTCTCTACCTTAACCCTATCTAGGGTTGGTCGATTTGACTAACCTAGTAACCACAGATAAATTAGGAAATAAATATAAATTACACATTTTTTGTTCTAGAATGACTGCAATTTGTAACAGAAAACCATAAATGTTTATTCTAAATAGCTTAAATCAGATTAACAATAGTGCCACAGAAGTTGCAAACAAGCATCGCAGGTGCAGTTCGTGTTACTGTATCCAGTAGCATAAAACTGGCCTTTACAAAGTGCAATTGTTTTAGCTTTGTATTACTAGTGCATCAGTACTTTGTAAAATACAGTCATATTTCAGTTATAATACATTACACATGTATATATATATTATTACTATTCACAAACAAATTATTAAATTTCAGTTGTTTTTTTTTAAATATAGAACATTAAATAAAGAAATATAGAAAACAATGACCTGTACTACTTACGATTGATACAAAGTTTGTCCTCACATGCCATACCTGGCTAAGCCTTGTCAAATTTTGCATGTGGAGGATGTTTTATATATGCATTTTTAAATAAAAAATTACAAATTACTATTTCAATACCATAAAATACTACTGTAATTTATCAGGCTTACTAACTAAGCTGTATTTGGGTCTAAAAGAATATAATTTCCAATCACCATTTTGTCTTATCTCTACACTCTGATCTTAGAATCAAATAGACAGTTTTTAGCACCTAAGCACTTTACACAGGCTGAGAAAACCACGTGGTGGAAAATTTGAGCTTTTGATTGGTTATAAACATGTAATTGAGTGAAGTGGGCATACATAAACAAGTACTTCCAAAAATGGAAGAGGAGGCAGAGCCACTGTGGTGAATCTGCTAAATATAATGATACCTCAGCAAATAGAAAAGATAGGAGGTTCTTATTTTATATCTTAGCTTGTCAATATTGATAATTTGAGTTTCTAATTTGTAAGAAACTATAAACTTTGTATTTGGATGTCATAAAATCTAATTTGAACCAAAGCTGAATTAAACATACCATGTTACACACAAAATTTGATATTTAACTATTTTAAACGAATATTTACTTTTAAATTATGAAATAAACTAATGTATAATACTAAAAGTTGAATTGTAATCTACAATTTGATGCCAAACTTATTGACGTACATTCATAAAATAGTAGTTCAATAAAATTTTGAATGTAAGTCTACAAACGTCATGATATGCCCTCTGACCCCTATCCGTAGGAAAATCCATAATGATAGGGTTAATAAAGTTTATCATTAATGTATGGCACTATTAACTGCAGCTCAATAAAGAACTTTGATGAAATTATTGATGAATCACAATGGAACATAACAAAGAATGGAACTCATAGGCACTAAATCAAAATGTTGTATTAAAACACAATACACGTATTGTTCTTAAATACACAAACCTTTTAAGACTTTACTGTGGAAATTCCCTAAGATTTTATATTTAAAGGCAATAAGAAACTTTTTACCTGCAGAACAAACACATTGGAATGTAAATTTTGAAATAGACTGACAAAGAATTTCAAAAAGCCGTTATTTTCAAATTTCAGAATATTTTGATAAAATATTCTCTCTCTATTTAACAAATATTTGGAAGAGTACTATTTCAATTATGATTTTTTTTATGTACACAATTTTGAGTTAAACCTAATTAACATAGAGATAAATACACTGTATTAAGCCTAATCAATGATTAATTTCAACACCTTAATAATGAAATTTCATCTATCTAACTTGCTAATTATATTATTCATTACAAATCATTACATCAATTCATTTTTCTATTTATAAAGTAAATTACATTCAATATAATAACAACTATTTCATTTTAAAATGAAATTAGAGGTAAATTACATATCTACCAAATTTCTCTATAAATTTTCAAACACTGGAAATATAATCTCGAACACATTTTAACATAAAAGTAGTCATATATAACCAGAGCCATCTACAGAATTGTGTATCTATCTATATACATATAACAGGAACATGTCAGCAATGTTTATAGATAATTGAATTTACAAGCTGTATTGACAAATGACAATCACAACTCTTACCCTGCCAGCATACTTAAGTGCATTCAAACTTTCATCAAGGTCAACAAGAAGTGGGCTGACACAACAGATCATCACAGTTGCTGCACTTCCTCCTAACGAATCCTATGAAGTGTTATACATACAGAAATTTAACATTTTATATGTAACAACATTAATTCTTTCACTCTTTTAATACAGATCAATCCATAACCAATGATGTGGGCATAGTATTTTTCACCCATCTCATGTTTCATCTATCACATTTGAATGGAAATTCACCAAGGAACGTATTATTTTTTTCTTATTATAAGATACCAAAACACTTCTAGGCTACAAAACTACAACATGACCAGCTACAGTTTGTAGTTTCCACTTTAACATAATCACTATCCCAACTGTACTACCTCAAATAAATTTCATTATACCTTTAGCACTCTGGTTAATTTTGAGTGTCGGTAAGGAATATGAGGAGTTTGAACACTTCTTGTGTCAGTTAGAGCACAAATCACACCACTTAAAGCAAACAATCCATGGTTGATGTGAACAGATTCTAAAAGAATATACAAATATTTTAATTTACTAATTTCCATATAGGGCAAAAGTCACTGTACTTAAGGTAAAAATCCTACAGTGACGTGGAACACACAAAAGAAAAATAAAAATTTTTTATATACAGACTTTAACAAAACTGATAGTGCACACATTACAAGTACATTAAAATCTCTGAATATATACAGCATCCATTATTTATTTATTATGCTTCATTAAAGCATGCAAAACAATGCTCCTTTATCATGCAAACTAGAAGTACACCTTGAAAAAATTTAGCTCAAACAGCTTAAACCATGTGTAACAAACTTATCCATTTCATGCACATGATCCTAAAATTTTCTTGGTTTTCACATATAATATGTAACTATCTGATGCAACAATACTTTATCAGGAAGTTTAACACAAATAAATCATATCCATATATTTATTTTCTGGTTTTACTGCAATATAACAGATGTGTATTACAGAAGTGGAAGATCATTTGTGTAACAGGTATACCAATTACAACTAGGATCTTCCACTTCTGTAATACATATCTGTTATAATATTATGCACATAAGGTCTTGCCATGATGGTATACACAAAATGTCACTGCCATGATGTTACACAGAAGAAGGCATTACCATGTTGTTATGCATAAAAAGCCACCATTATGTTACATCCAATAAGGTACTGCCATGATGTAACACAATAAGGCACTGCCACCACACAAAAGACCAACCATAATGTTTCACAAAAAATGCCCTGCAATGAAGATACACATAAAAAGCTCTGCCATGATTATCAAAAATTTCTAATAAAAAATAAGCTAACTAAATAAAAACATACAAATAGCTACATATCAATGAAACCAATTTTATATAAAAGGTTCAATCCTGATATGACACACAAAATATATTACCATGACATCATACACACAAAATGGCTTTTTACAGCTTATAACTAGAAGTATGACACATTTGAACAATTTATTCCTTATTTTAAGATTTATAATTATGTCATATTAAAATAAATTGCACCATGTTTACATTGTTTGGAACATACATACTAATAATGACTAATAATTACAATACTTTTGTTAACTTTGTTAGTCGTTAAAACTAAATATTCTTATAATTGAATTTAATATACATTAAAAATGTACTAACAATTGTGAATACAATGTACATGGAATGAATCAGGCTAGTTAAGATTACTATATATGTCAATTTTGAATCTCTCATGAAATTAGTTAGATTCTATTTTAAACACAACCTAAGTGACTAGATAGAAGACAAGGATTTTGTACATGGCTATTTGGATAAAGGTGAGTTGCTGTCACTGAGGCAAATTTCTTACTACCATATACCTGATTTATCTATCCCAACTATATTACCTTTCAGACGTTCACCAATGTTGCCAGTTTTTTGAGCTCTTTCAGATCCAGCAAGGTCCACAAAATGAAACTTAGAATAAAGACTTTGTTGCCTTGTATCTGTAAGACAAATAGAAAACTATACATAAAACACTTTAGTAGAACTTAAAAAATAGCATAACAAATATACTTTGAATATTTAAAAACCCTACATTTTGTCTTTCAAACATTCACGACTGAGTAGCAAAAGTACTGGTTCTTCATACCTAAGGTTTATAATAAAGCAAGTTTTTGAGGTGATATCATAATAAATTAGTATTTTCTGCTTAAAAGATTTCTTAACTCTTGTGAGTTCATTTTTGTATCTTATTGAATAATCTTTAAGTAATTAAAGATTCCATACTAGAGAGAGATATTATAAAACTTGTGAGGTATTTTAACATCATGTACATTTTGGTGTACCACCTTTGTAGAGTATATTTTTGTGAATTTTCTTTTTCTTTAATAGAGGTCACAGTGTGTGAAATGAAAGAAATAATATAATACCATTTATGGATGGATCTACATAGTAAAGATGTGATACGTTACCTGGATCATTCTGTTTACTCTTTTTCAAATGATAATCCACAGCATCTTTAATCCTGTCTTCTGACACCTGAGTTGTCTTCTGTTCTGCAGGATATTATAAAATGTGTTTTATCATCTTTGCATATAAATTAATCATCTTTAGTTGAAAAAGTTACTTACATTAAGAGGTAAAGAAAGAAAGCTGGACTTCTTTGCTGACAGAAGGCTTATCATAGCAACAAGAAAAACAAATATAAAAATAAACAAATAATCTAAAAAAGTTAAATAACACAACTGATATAAACATTACACAAAATTAATTCCCAGTATATTGAAGCAAAAGACAGAAAATATTGCATGTCAATTTATTAAAAAAAGCTTCAGAAGAAATCAAAATACCTAAATAAATGGTGAAAATAGAATGGGATCTGCTGGAATGAGCATTCATTAGTGTGGATCCTGTATGTCGAGAAGCTGAGCCATTTCTCAAACATTCCAGAACTTGTTCATAATTGGAACACCTTATTTTATGTATGCCCTTCACAACTAGACAAAAGATAGAAATATCAAATCATTTATAAATATGTTATAAGGTAAAATCAAGTAATCCATAATACCATGAAACATAATTTAGTACCTTCTTGTGTAAACATTCTACAAGGATAATAAAGTAAATAGTGCAATGTTAACACCCTGTAAGACATATAAAATACTTGTTTTGTAACGATATCACAAAACATTAAAAAAAAATAATATAGTAAAAATGATGCTTTTACAATAAGACATATTACAGAAACTAATACTTAAAACAATTTACACATTATGTCACACAAACATCATTTGTGCACCCACAGAAAATAGCAGGTTTTAAGCAATAACAGTGAGATAATCTTGCAAATTTAGATTACACAACCACTACAAAATCCTAGATTTTTAATAGTGTGAAATTAGTAATATACATGTAATAAAAGTATAATTTATCTTGGATATAACTTACTTGTTGCACCATTTTCATTATCTCTCACAGATAGATCCTTTATCATGGAAGGATTAAGTAGGTCAAATAATTCCTCTCTGTAAATTTCAAGATGAGATACCATCACTACAAGTTCTGATGAACTGTTTATCTGAAAAATCAAACCATTAGTTAAGGTTACCATTTCAATGTTGATTAGTGTTTGAATTTTCCTTTATTCTACAAATGGTTTTATCACACATATAAGAAATACAAATAAGAAAATCCTATAAAATGCTGAAATGGACTTTAAAAGGTGCAAAAGTTTGGTAAATATGTGAACTCTTAATACTGATAAAAATTACTGTCTCTCTGCATTTTCAAAAAAAGTTTATATATTAATCTAATCAAAAACATCTCAGATGTGAAAAAAAAGGTACACCCAAAAAAGGATTGAGCATGTGACTTAAAGGAATGAAATCAAAATTGGCAACCAAACTGGTAGTTACACTTATAGCATTGATAAGAATTTTACAGCAAATATTCATTCATTAGTTAGCCAGGCCCCTTTTTTGTTCAACTTCAGGCATGATGGTGGGTAAAACAAAATACAAAGCCTAGCTAATTAATGAATGAATATTTGCTGTAAAATTATTTGGAACAGACCTATCTATACTTTACAGAACCAACCAAGTTCTTTAACCTTATAATTATGGTTACCCCTGTACCATGCATGTCACGAGATTTTACTTTGTTACATTCAAAATTTAATTACGCAATCTTACTATCAATGTATACCAATAAAATTAGCATTAAAATTTACAATATAGTTCAAAGTTTTATATTATTCAATTTTACTTCCTTTATTTCAAAAGAAACAATAATGAAAAATTCTTAAACTTCATTTTGATGCACAAGTTCTCAAAATTTTAACTTTTCATCTCTGTAACTTAAATAATTCTTGCTGTACACTATACTTCTTTGTATAGACAGAAACTAGGTTATATGCTCTGTTTACACATTCTTCTTTCAAGGCCCTTATGTGACATTGAGAAGAAAGAGGAATAAATTTATTGGAACTCTTGACAGATGCCATGCCCACTCTCTACATATACAGTTGAAATTTCTCAGCCAACTATATTTGGTTGAGCTAGATGTCTGTAACCAATAGTAATCAAAGAATTCCATAGAGAACTTATCATAGGCTCTTAGCATTGTTGCTGCTTGTGTCTACACTAGTGCTTTAGCATTATTTTCTCACCTATAAATATGTTAGTTAGATAGACAATTAAATTTTATATAAGTTTTAGTTTTATATTTTGCTTATTTATGTGTTAGTTATGTTTTAAAATGCATATTAAAAAGGTTTAATAATCTTTAAAAATATAAGCCAAACTGCTTCGGGTTTATCAGACTTAGTGTAACAGGCAAATGTCCCAATGTTCTGATGATGGCTAAAGTGTCGCTGCGAAGGACATAACAACACCTGTTGACATGTGTCACGATAAGTAATAATACTAAAATAAACCTTTTGTGAAAAAAGTAAAAACTTACAATTAAGAATATAATCTAAGAAGATTTCCAAGAGTATTCGATGAAAAATTAAAAGGTATGTACATTTATTTCTATTTCTGATTTTAAACATTTCACTGCATGATACATTGATGATAATACTTGAAATATTCAGTCTGAGTGCAAATAATTAAGATACAAAAATGAAAAATCTTTAATTAAAATACTTAATTAAAACAATCTTAAAATCTTACCAATTGTTGTGAAGATATATTAAGAAAGCTCAGAGTTGTTGTAAATATTGTTGAACTATGTATCATTCTCCATATAAAAAGTATGCCAAATGAGTTCAAACCTTAACCACAAAGTTAAGTCGCATGCTCAACCCTATTTTGGCAGCACTTTTTTCTACCATCTGAGGTGTTTTTGATTTGATATCATGATTTTTTGTCAATACACAGCAATAAACCATAGCAAGTAAGAAAATGGCACTCAATAGTAACCAACATTAGCTTTAGGATTACAACTGTATTATTCAGAACAGACCTATAATTTACAGAACCAACCAGATTCTTTAAACTATATGGCAGTGTTAATAACTTCCTTTACGGTAATGCCATGGAAACTAGATTAACAGTTCCTTGTCATCATCTGCATGCATTCGGTACAGCCTTATCAACAAGCATCGTTATTTATACTAATATGCTCTTAAATTGTGCTTAAAAGTTGGCAATGACTACTGAATAATAACCGTCCACTTGTATGATTATTTTGAAAACTTGAGCTAGAAACTGCTAATCTAATTTGCTTGGCCTAATCAATACTTGTGTATCTGCACATGTTTTCATCGTATAATTTTGCTGCTCTAAATCAACCATCTTTAAGAAGAATGACAAAAAACTAAAAAGGTCCATCTATACCCTTAGATGAAGCTGTAGTAACAATTCCAAACTGAAAAATTATAGTCAAAGTTGAGCAGTTTTTGTTGAATAACTTTGCACATGTGGCCTATATTAAGACTAAACTTGACATCTAATTGTAGGTTGTAAAGATCTATAAGTGTACCAAATTTGAAAAAAATCCATGTTTTTCTATCAAATAAAGTTTCTGTACTTTCTGTGTGAGGGAAAAAAAGAAGAAAGAATTTCAATCAAAATTGTAGATTTTATATCTCGTGTATTTCTTAATGGATTGCCTTGAAATTTTATATGTGAAGTAAGGGTCCAGTTGAGAACATCCACTAAAAATATGTGATAGTTTGGATTACCACAGTTCAAGCTACAGAAATTGAAAAATTGCTAAACTATCACTCCTGTTAGTAACACACAGTGTATCCTTCAGGTTGTTTTAGCCGCATCACACACTACCATGAACCTTGATATTTCCTTCCAATCAGAGCAATCTACCTATTTATAGTAAAACTAAAAATCCACCTGGTATTAAGTATAGCTAATCAAATATATTTTTTGTATATTCTTACTTATAAAGATTAAAATGCACTGTGTGTGTGTGTGTTTTCTTATAGCAAAGCCACATTGGACTATCTGCTGTGTCCACAGAGTGGAATTGAACCCCCTGATTTTAGCACTATAAATCCATAGAGTATTAAGTATAGCTAATCAAATATATTTTTTGTATATTCTTACTTATAAAGATTAAAATGCACTGTGTGTGTGTGTTTTCTTATAGCAAAGCCACATTGGACTATCTGCTGTGTCCACAGAGTGGAATTGAACCCCCTGATTTTAGCACTATAAATCCATAGAGTTACCGCTGTCCCAGCGGGAAACAGTTTGGCCAGCTTAAGAAATTCAGATTAGTCCAAATCTATGTTAAGCTAACATTGCAAAATGATCTTTAATAAGGGTATAATAATAAAAACAGATATATTAAATATCCTAAATAATACTATTAACAAAAATAACAATAAAGAAATAACAGAGTATACCCTACCTGCATAACACACAAACACTAACTGGTAGCTTCATGTGCTTCAGTGTAATTGGAAAGGATAAAGATTTCTTTAGAATGTAACACAGGTTTCAAACAACATTTTTTATGCAATCATTTTTGCTAAACATCATTCCAGCAGTTTAAAAAAATTTTCAAATTGTCATTCATGCTTTACAAAAACTATTTTTGAATGACAGAATACTTAGAAAAAATAATTTATTAAAATGTCTTTTCAGATGTTTAAAATTGCATTTTGGACATTTAATCCTTCATGCATTTACGAGTTACAATGTTGTCTGTTAAAAATTTGGAATTTTTTGCCTTCAATATTTTATAGTTATTAACTTATTGTATAAGGTAATCATGACATTAACAATGTATTTCTTACTTTTCACATTATAGTAAAAGCCTATGATTTTGCTCACTTAAAATTTCTTTTTAATTCATTATTTCTAGATTTAACCTATATATATAAGATATAACAAATGTACAATTAAAAAACATACATTTTCAATATCTTGTTTTCTTTTGAATATGGCTCTGACTGCTTGTGGAATAATACCATGATGATAGTCCTCCAGCAATGTGGGATCACATGTTCCAATTGTATAGGTTTTTCCCGAGCCCTAAAAGTGTTTTTTATGCTTAATAAGATTATTTCACGGGTAGAAAGGTTGTGTTTTTTCTTACTGGAAGCAAAAACTGACTTTTGTGAACAGAATAAAATGCGTTTGTTATACAAAAACACTAATCAATAAGTGTATAATAAAAACATAATTTTCAATAAAAAATTTTTTTATATATTTATGTACTTAATTTGTTTTACTTACTGTTTGTCCATAAGCAAAAACAGTAGCATTACATCCACTAAAATAATTCTCCAATAGGGGATAAACAGATGTGTTAAATACATCTTCCTAAAAAAGGGAATAACTGATCATTTATATGTTTCTTCAAATGAAAGAAGCAACTAAAAGAATTATGTACATTTCTTTACTTTATTTGTACAGCACACTTAGAAAAGTACTAAAAAAATAAATTTGACCATTTACTTGATAAATCATTAAGATTTAATTTTGCTCACAGCTTTACTTAGAAACCATTAATTATAAAGTTTATAGTTATTAACTTTTTATAGATAGAAAATGTTGCACAATACCTGAGATGCATCTAAGGGGAAAACAGTATCAAAGGTAAAACAATAATTTTCTAAAGCAATAAGCTGGCCTTTCTCTGGACAAGTTTCTAGATAATGCTGGAATCTTTTTCCATCAAGTCGTTCACAATCATGTGGAAGAAATGGTCTGACCTGAAATCATTATTTTACTTAAAATAAAAGTAAGCAACACAAAAATTCATGGAAAAATATTATTATCAATGTAGAACTTTAGTAAATTATATATATAAGGTGCACATCTAATTCTTATATTTTTGTCTTACTATAACTTTTCTTATTTTGTTGTGAAACTGATTTTATTTTAGATTTCTTCTGTAAAAATATCAAGTAAACTGCATTAATAAACAAATTCAACAAACTAAAAATATACTATCTCAACTAATTAATCCACCACTAGAAGTTTATTTATATATAATGAATAATAATAAACAATTACCTTAATATAATTTCTCTATTATTATTACACAAACTGAATATAATAACATAATAATTCAAGCTTTTTATTCACTAAGAAATACTGGGAATTTATTTGTATTATCTATATTTGCACAAACTCTTATAAATATTATTTTACAGAAACCATTCTAGCTTTTCACTTCTTCAAACCAATTTTCTAACAAATTAAAGCTCCATATTAAATTTTCAAACTTTGACAGTTAAAAATTATTTTTAGAAGTATGTTCTTCAAAATAAAGTTCATAATTTATTCATTTTTGAATTACAAGACTACACATATAATGTTTTTTTTAAATATTTACCCTCACAGCAACTTTTACTCTGTTCTCAATCATCTTCAGTTTCTTAAGTCTATAATTCTACTGCAAAAAGTAAAAAAAAAACAGTATTTGTTATAAGTTATATTTTACAGTAAAAAGCACATGAAACAAAGTCTAGGTTTTAAATTAATATTTTGAAAAATAAAAATAATAATCACTATATAGTTAACAGTTTTTCATATCACTATAAATATAAAATGAACATTTAATTACAAAAATGAATATTTAATTTTGACAAGAGCAAATTCAGATATGATAATCACTTTCCAGTTTATCTGACTGTGTAAAATAACTATACTAAATTTACAAGTTTATTAATACACTTTCAGGTGTTTAAAACTTGATGTCTTAAATTCTTATGCATGAAAAACAATTATTTCACCTTTGTTAGAATTATACAAAAAATTATTGATGTCAGAGTTTGATAATTTAAATTTAAAAAACAGAAACTAACAATGTATAATACTGAGGTTACCCAAATGTTTTAACTGCTGTTATATGGGTAAATTGAATAACATTTTATACCAGGGGTGAGATCACGAAAACTGACTATGGAATTTGATTGCAGAAATGAAACTAAACAAAAGTATTATCAATGATAAGGATTTCACAGCTTTTTTTTTAAAGGCAAAATATTAAGTATAGATGAAGGTAAGGCTACCTAAAGATCAATGTATCAACAAATATTACCTATATATTAGGAATGTTAAATAACTAGCTACAATTGTGAACAACCTCACTCAGAAGGCATTTACAAGATACTGTATTACATTAAAACATCATGTAGCCTATTGGGATTTGATATTGACTTCACAGAAACAGAAAACTTCATAATTTTGTAGTGAAGCACACAATGGAGCATATAACATTATATATAGTATGCAGTGGAAGTTTTGATTGTACTTCAATTATATTTTTCTTTAACTTGTTACTGGATATGATTACTTTGGTTTCTTTGCTATCTTTTACAATCTGTTTTCATATATTAAGCAGTAATTGGTCCGCATAATAGAGCATATTTTCTTTAGTACTAAAATGTTTAAGGTAATTATACATGATTCATCAACAGAATTAAAGGATTCATATTCACATGATTTTTTGACTTGGTAAATTTCTTGTCAAAGAAGCATATATTCTGAAAACATCTCTGATATAGCATAACACAACATTTTGGGACAACATGGGATCTATTGGTCCATCTTGGCTGTTTCATCCTCTAAAGTAAATTAAGATAATTAAAACATCTTATAACTTGCCCTTATCATTCATATACTTATCAAGCTTTTTCTTGAACTCATATAAAATTTACTGCCTCTACAACATCCAACAGCAACCCATTCCAAATGCCAACCACCCTGTTAGAAAAAGATACTAAACCAAAAGTGCCTTTCAGTTTCAGATTAAAGGTAGGCCTAAAATACAGTTAAATTAAATTTTATTTAAAAAATCAAACTCAAAGAGTAAACTTTTACACTTAAAAAAAGGTCAAATAAATTGAAATAAGTGAAAATATTTGCAAATTTTCATAAAACTTAGAATGAATCAAATTCTGTGCAAATTCAGGAACAATTATATCATCTACATCTTTATCTGGAACATCATTTCAAAGCTATTACATGAAATTATAATTAGTATTACAATTAGTATTCACTACTAATACTAGTTATTTTTAGTTACTATGACAACATTATTTGTTTGTAGGTGATCGAACATCAACAGAAGTTTAATTTGAAGAACGCTGTTTAGTGAAACATTAAAGTGTATTTGATATTAAGTTTAATAACAGTTTGTGTACATTTATACCTCACTATTCAACACATGATATATGGTTATATTATTGTTACCAAAATAACGAAATTACCTTCCTGCTATACTATAGGTTGATATATATTGTTACGTCTCCGCGTG